TATTTTGAGTGATATGTTAAGTGTATTTTAAATCCATTATTTTTTATTTTTTGTGATTTTAGTGAAATTCTTAGAAATATTAAGGTCTTGTTTGGATGTTAGCGGATTGGTGCAAAATTAGCGGATTAACCTCAATTAGAGGTTGACCCATCAAATCCGCTAATGAGCTTGTCTGATAAAGAGATTATTTGATCAACTTTTTAGCCAGAAAAATTAATTTTGACAAAGCTCATCATCATATCATTTTGAGAAGAGAGATTTCGTAGAATAACACGTCAATATAAGATCTATAATTTAAAAATTATTATTTACAAACAACGAATACAATCCGCTAACAAATCGATTGAGCAATAGAAGATAGTGCGGCTTGCTAAGTAGATATCTTATGCATAATTATTTATCAATTAGCCTCATCATTGTGATATCAAATTTTTATAATCACAGGATGAAACATCTTCAGTATCAATAAAAATACACACACTTAAAAATAAAACATGCTCTTGGGCATCATAATCATCATCATCATAATAATAAGAACTTGAATATGTTTCCATTAATATAATAAAATATGAGCTTTTCCCTTATTTTTGGGTTTTATTTAACATATATTGTTGTTGTGGCTACCCTACGGTTGGGATAAAGTAACAAATTCCAGTCTTCTCCAGAAAGAGATAAACCCTATTGCAGCAAAATAACGGCCCATATGGATCCGTAAACGGGTCATCCCGATAAATAGGCACCACGTTAACAAATGGATTGTCTTTCTCTATTTGGGCCTTGCATTTTGGGGCCGGTTGGCCCACTAGTTCCGGCCATTCCCTCTTGTATCCTAAACCAGAAACATGAGAAATTTAATTTAATTAAAAAAAATTAAAAAATAATAATAATAAAGATGAAACTTGGTTATATGACTGCATATTATCCGTGAGTTTGAAAATTAGGTTTTTGGATTATATTTTGTTTTTTAAAATAGCTTTTTGTATTCAAAACATCGATTTTCCTAACAAAGAAATGAAATAAACTTACCCCTGTAATTGCAATGTGCAGCACAAGGTGGATATGGGCGCTTGTGAGAAGACATGCCTATAATCTCTCTATTTTATTTTTCTGAATGCATAATTATTTATCATGATGCTTATATATCCATTTTTCCACTGTTTAGGAAAATAAAAATAACGGAAGTATCTCTCCTGATTTGGTGATAGATCGAATAGAAGTAATTTGCATTGTACATCTGTATAAAATGGGTATTGAAGTTTGATTTTGTTAACCAATATTGGATCAATTAAAAAGATCGCAAGATCGCCTTAATTATGTGTTCGTGCAATATTGAAAAATTTAATTTGCTTTAATTTTTTTTACTATTATAATTAAAAAATTTAATTTGCCATCTCTTAAATGATTTTTTGCACCTCCAAAATTTTTTACCATGTCTTTTTGCTCCCTCTCAATTAATTTTCTGGTTTCGCCACTGTCCATAAGATAAAAAACACTTTTAATGGGTGAATCTACATAAGTGTTCATCATTAAACAAATTGATGTAGGGCTGCTCATTTGGTCGAAATTGAACTGAACCGAACTGAATTAAACCGACTGAATTTTTGGTTTTTTGAAAATTTCGTTTATCCATTATAAGAACTGAATATCGAATGTTGGAAAAATTCCCTTAATAAAATCTAAATTCTCACATGGTCACTTACAGATTGACTTGTGAACTTATTACGTTATAAGTTATATAAGTGAAATTTTAGAAGATGAAGAAAAAGAGTAAAGAAATGCAGAACCAACCAATAATTGGATTATTAGAGATTTATTATGAGATTCATAAGAGGAGAGTCTAGTAGATAACTTTACAACCAAATAAGATGCTTGCCCATTCACAATATTCTTCATCCAACTATATTCTCTTGTTTGTTTTCTATGTACAAACATCCTTTCTCATTTCCTTACTCGGTTCCTACAATCTTGCCTTGGCTCTCTCCAACTAAATCTTTTTTCTTGATTTAGTGATGACTAGTGTGTATCCGTGCGATGCACGGGAACAATATTAAATTAACAATATTATAAATAGACCTCAAGTTTGAGTCAATGGCGGAAGTGAAAAAAAACTACTATTGATCGTATTTAAAAAGAGGAAGAAAAAAAAATAATTATAAATAAAAAAGGAGGATAAACAATACTTAATAATTATAAATTAAAGATTTGGGGTCAAACAATGTAAAATGATTTTGTATAAGAGAATATAAAAAAATTTGATTACACACCATTTCAAAATTATTATTATACTTTTTTGTACGGTTAGCTTAGAATATTTGTAAAAATATTAGTAATTAGACCGATGAAAATTAGCTTCTTAAAGTAGATAATGGATTTCTAGTAGTAATTATGAATTAGTTTCTATTTTATTTTATTTTTTCTTTTTAAAGATAATGGAGTTCTAGTAGTAATTATGAATTGATTTCTATTTTATTTTATTTTTTCAAATCTGTATAAATAAGAGATGAGATTTTTTAAACACCTAAGATCGTATGCAATGAGATTCTGTAACAGAAGAGATAAGCTCGTGTAGATTTATACTAAAAATAGGAAAAAGAAAAACAAATATTTATTGTTAAAACGATAAACTAAGAAACAGGAAAAAGATAAACAAATCTTTACACAATTAATGAGCTGATTTTTTTGCCTATTCAAATTTATCCAACAATTACTATATATAGGATATATTTAATGATTTTGGCGGGAAAAAATTTCTAAATTTGTAAAAAGGTTATTCTTTTTATATAATGATAGAAGATTGTTTTTCGTTCTTGAAGAATCTTTATAAAGGTACATATATTTATTAAATAACATATTAAGGTGCGTATAATACTAGCACGCGGTTATAATAAATCAATTAAACCAATCCAAATTAGTAGACCTTGTCAAATGAGTAAATAAGAAGTAAATAAAGTAGATCCTCAAAATTGTGTGTAAAATATATCGATTCCAAGGTTTGCCATCTTCGTGACACAACCTTATTCTCTTTTTGCGTTTTCCTAATTTTCTTTTTCTCATTTTTGGTTCTAAATTTCAGTTCACTAATGCTAATTGGAAATTGTAGTTGTTTATCTTTTAATTATTGATTTTGGCTGTTACTTGTAATGATGATTAAGTCACAATAGTTTCTCTCTCCCACACCATTAATTATTGAAGACAAGCACATCTAAACTTTATTCTAAGGAAGGTTGTTAGTGAATACAAAATCAAGTTGTGGATCTTTTCCTACCAAGTTCGGCAGTAGTGCATTGCATTTACAGATCTAATAAAACTTTTTTAAGCATAGCATTATTATTATTATTATTATTATCAATTTCGCAAATTGGATTTATCTTTTTAGTGCACCTGCAAAACTCATAGACAATAGTATCCTATATTGGATGTTTATAATAAGGAAAAAAATACTCATTGACAACTAAAAGCAAGAATTGATTTAACCATATTTATGCAAAAATTTGTGTCAATAGCACTCTTTGATTTTCATAAAGTAATGATGACATTTAGGAATTAAAATAATCTTATTTTCTAATTTAAAACTTATAGCTATTACCTGAATTCAATTTTTGTCAAATAATTTGATTAATGAATTAATTAAAAAAGGAAATTTGACAACTGTACTAATAACACGACCTCAAAGTTCATAAAACTCACCATACTTTGTCCCTATTCACAGCTAATGTTGAGTTCATTGTGGTTGTAAAGAAAAGCACGCGCTCACAAACCCTTTCTCCCCGACCCATTCCCCTGAAAATGGCCGGCGGAGATTCCACGGCGGTGGAAGGTGGCCTCACCGCCGCGCCCCTCCTTCTAATCCGAGACATTGTCCGAATATCTGGTGCCGGCTTCTCGGGGATTTTCAAGAAGGATTGTGTGGACTTGGGTCGCAGAGTCTCACTCTTGGCCCATTTGCTCGAGGAAATTAGGGATTCCGATAAAGCCAAAGAAAATGGCGAGGCTGGGTCTTCCTCTTTATACCGTGCTTGCTTTTCTGACCTCACAATGGCTCTTCAGGCTGCGAAAAGGCTCATTTTTGCTGCTAACAACTTCGACGATTCCAAGATTTCATCTGTAAGTCTGTTTATGAGGTGTTCTGTATGTTTATTTTTAGATTTTTCCCATTTTGCTCATGTGATTTATTGGTATTGTGGGTTGAATTTTTCGTAATGTATATAGCATATTCGTTACATTAATTGAAATGGGATTTGCTGTTACCTTGGGGTTTGTGAGATGAATTGAAAGCTGAACTTTTGAATCTGATTAAATAGATATATAATGTTGATTGTTCAATTTCGAGTTTTGGGGCTCCATCTGAGCTTTGGAGCTGATGCATAACTATACTATCTGATATATTTCTCAATTTATTTGCTATTAATAGAAAGAATATGTTTTCCTTATTTTGAAGAATATATTTGATTTGAATCTGGTGTGTATAGTATCCTTTTATTTTCATTTACTTCTACATTTTCTTTTGATAATTTCTTTTGGACAAGTAGTTTATCGAAAAAATCTTCAAGTGGTGCATCACTTATTAGCAGATCAGTTTGCAATAACAACACATTGATTAGAGAAATTATAATTTATTTGAAGTAACTGAACTCACGAACACAAGTATTGGTCCAACGCAAGTGCGATCGGGTTCAGTAATCTACATTTCTATTCCGTCGAATGATTTATAATTATCGTTATTCAAATGTCTCTATCTATGTGTTTTGCATACTTCTGATACTAATTAATTCATTTATGGTTCAAGGATGGTGCCACAGAAAATTTTTTCTGTCAATTTCAATGTGTGACATGGTATTTGGAAAAGACATTGGCTAACTTACCATACAATGATTTTGACATATCGGAAGAAGTACAAGAACAGGTGAGTGAGTTTTAAGCATCTTTGCATATATTCTACTCTGAAGTGCATAATTCATGACTGATATTGATATAACCTGTTTTGTGCCAGATTGAACTAATGATGGCTCAATTGAGACGGGCCACTGAAAGATACGGTGAGCCATTAAATTCAACCTTATTACGCCAGGCCCTATTGCAGCTGTTGGATAAAGAGGCCAGCAGTATACAAATGAATAATATTGGGATCGTTGATCTTAAAACTGGACAAAAAATGGAAGGTCTTGTTGAAGCAAATGGTTTGGAGAACGATGAGTTGATCGAGGACAATGAAAGTTTGAGCAAGTCTTTGAAATCATGTGAGATTGGTGCCTCTAAGGATTCCGATAGTGAGTTGATTGAGAGCTCGGTTTGCAAAAGTGAAGAAGAAAACAAGAAATTAGATTCACCCATAATTCCTGTCGATTTCTTGTGTCCTATATCTCTTGAGATTATGAAGGATCCAGTGATTGTGGCCACAGGGCAGGTAAATCTCACATCTCACTTGTCTTTCATGTGTGGTTTGTCTTAATTGCAAAAAAGAAAAAGAAGAAATAAAGAACTTGAACCAGCTAGCTGCGAATCTTGCAAAAGGAAATCATTTCGCACATGCAAATGGAAATCGCTTACAATTAATGGACATGTCCCAAAGCTTTTCTTAACATTACATTTACTCAACTCTGACTCAGATTTTATAATTGCATCTTGAACTTCCTAAATATTACAAATCACCCGAACGAACAATTCGCTCCATTTGTGATACTTAGAATAAAGTGTATCCCACCAAATTATATCCTCATCTAATGAACAATGCGAAATGAAACACCACCTATAGTTTAATTTCTTAATTTTCATATTTCTCATTTATCTCTCGAGTTTTTTGTAGACCTATGAGCGAGCCTACATACAACGATGGATCGACAGCGGCCGCAAAACGTGCCCCAAAACCCAACAAAAACTCGACCACCTCACCCTCACCCCTAACCTTATCCTCCGAACCCTAATCATCCACTGGCGCTCGAAAAACGACCCCAACCACATCGAACCCACCGGCGACCCATCTGCCTTCTCAACCCTCATCCGTCGCCTCTCGTCCCCCTCCCCCTCCGAACGCCACTCCGCCGTAGCCGAGATCCGCTCCCTCACGCGCCGCAGCACGGACAATCGCATTCTCCTCGCCCACGCCGGCGCCATCCCGTTCCTCGTCGCCATGCTCTCGTCCTCCGACGACCCCATCATTCAAAACAACGCCGTGGCCTCGATCCTCAACCTCTCGATTCACGACGACAACAAGGAGCCAGTCATGCTCGCCGGCGCCGTCCCGCCGCTCGTGCGCGTGCTCCGTAGCGCCGCCGTCGCAGGGCTCGAGGCCCGGGAGAACGCGGCCGCGGCTCTGTTCTGCCTCTCGCTCGTAAACGAGAACCGCGTCGTGATCGGGGCGTCGGGGGCTATACCGCCGCTCGTGGAGTTGCTCAGGGAAGGGAGCCCGCGGGGCAGGAAGGACGCTGCCGCGGCGCTGTTTAATCTATGCGAATATCGCGGGAATAAGGGGCGGGCCGTGCGGGCTGGGATCGTGGAGGTGATTTTGGTTATGTTAGATAGCCCTGGAGGGGGAATGTTGGTGGATGGGGCGCTTGCGATTTTGTTGGGCCTTGCGGGCCATAGTGGGGCCCGGGAAGCGATTGTGGGGGGANGGAAGGCGGGGTGGTTGCTGGAGGGGATCGGGGGAGGGAGGCAGGTTTGACTTTGACTTTTTATTTATTTTTTGTTTTTGAATTGATGGGGGGATTATAACTGGTGGGGTACACGAGTTTTATGTGTGTGTGTGTGTGGAGAAGGAAAGGGGGTACAGTGTACTTACTGATTGCTGCATGGGTTTTTTGTGAAGGAAAAACTCGTGATGCGTCTTATGTCTGTTGATTTTTTCTTTTTTATTTATTTATTTTTTTTTTGGCGTGAAGAGAGGTTTCCAGTGTTTACGTTGAACAGTGTTTGTTTTGTAATTTATGTGACCAAGAAGAATCACTAATTTGTCTTTGTTGATGATGCGATTTGGTGGAAAGACATGGGACGGTCTCATAAGGAGATGTGATGTTTTGAACATGAAATAAAATTTCTTCCCTACAATTTAGTTGTGATAGTTGAGATTTTAGTGGGAACGAGCCAACTGTTGGCTCCCTTATGGAGTCAACGGCCAATGAAATAGCTCCATGTGAGGCTGTCCCACATTGTGGGACAGTCCCATATGGAGCTGTCCCATTGGTTGTTGGCTCCATAACGGAGCCAACAGTTGGCTCCTTAGCATTTCTGCACTTACTTTTACTTTGATGGATTGCGAAGTTGAGGTAAATGTATAATTTAGGGAAATTTTCAATTATCCTACTCGATTGTAAAAATATTGCAAAATTATCATTCATACACAATTAATTGTGTATATACTTAATAGATAATAATTAATTACATTGATGTCTGAAAATCAGTTACAGATCTCTATTCCATATTTGATAGTAACAAATTCGTAAAGACCCCAAGATTCATGCAGCAAGTCGTCCCCCTCGAAAAAAAAATCTCTCAGAAAGTTCCCAAAATTTCGTCATCTTCCTCGGCAAGGGAGAGCCACCAGTTTTCCAGCGACGAGAAAGTCGTGCGCACTGGCGATCCATGAGCACCAGAGATCTCGATTTCAGGCGAGGAGATTTGAGGGCACCCGAGATGCACCAAATTCCGGCAAGTGCCTAGAGCACCATATTTACGATATCAAAACACCTAATCTAAGGGATTTACCATATCACCTAATTGATACTATCTAATCCATACCATATTTACGATAACGCTCTCCCTCAAGCTGGAGCATATATATCAATTATGCCAAGCTTGTTACAAATATTTTTCATTCTTACGCCATTTACTGCTTTTGTAAATATGTCCCCTAATTGATCCTCAGACTTGACATATCTTGTAGTGACGAAACCTTCTTCGACCTTATCACGAATAAAGTGGTAATCTATCTCGATGTGTTTGGTCCGTTCATGAAATACAGGATTTGATGCAATGTGGTTTGCTGCTTGGTTGTCGCACCAAAGTGTTGCTGGGAGAACAAATTCTAATCCAAGCTCCTTTAGTAACTGATGTATCCATACGACCTCGCACACTGAATCAGCCATCGACCTATACTCTGCTTCAGCAACTGAACGAGAAACAACATTCTGCTTCTTGCTTCTCCATGAAACTAGATTGCCTCCCACAATTATACAGTATCCAGAAGTCGATCTTCTATCATCTTTGCAACCTACGTAGTCGGCATCACAATATGCTTCTACTGCCTTAGCCTTTTGATAACTCTGTCGCCCATAGAACAATCCCCGTCCAGGAGCCCCCTTCAAGTAGCACAACATTTGTTCAAGGAGTGCCCAATGACTAACGGTCGGAGAAGACATAAATCGACTTGCTACACCAACTGCAAAGGATATATCAGGACGTGTTACGGTACGATAGTTTAGCTTTCCTACGAGTCTTCGATAACGTTCTGGATCATGAAATGGCTCACCATCATCCTATCCTAACTGCATGTTTGGTGTCATCGGGGTGCTGCATGGTTTTGCCCAAACTTTTCCAGTTTCTTTAAGCAGATCTGGCACATACTTCCTCTGACAAAGGAAATCTCATTATCTCTACTCCGAGAAAGTATTTCAAGTGTCCCAAGTCCTTTGTTTGGAAATTCTCATGGAGGAATGATTTAAGGTTTGAAATCCCATCATTATCATTCCCTGTAATAACAATATCATCGACATACACAACCAATAAAATGATCCCAAGACATGATCGCCTATAGAATACCGTGTGATCGGATTTACATCTCACTAACCCATATTTCAAAACAATCTGGCTAAATCTATCGAACCAAGCTCGGGGACTTTGCTTCAACCCATATAAAGATTTATGAAGGTGACATACCTTCCCATACTCCCCCTGAGCAACAAAACCAGGTGGTTGCTCCATATAAACCTCTTCCTGAAGAAAGCCATGGAGAAACGCATTATTAATGTCAAGTTGGTGCAGAGGCCAGTCAGAATAAGCAGGAAGAGAGATGAGCAACCGGACAGAGGTAAGTTTAGCCATGGGAGAGAAAGTCTTAGAGTAATCAGTGCCATAAGTCTGAGCATAGCCTTTAGCTACAAGCCGAGCTTTAAGATGTGCCAAAGAGCCATCAGGATTTAACTTTAACAATGAAGACCCACTTACATCCAGTTGCCTTCTTGTCAACAGGTAAGTCCACTAAAGACCATGTGCCATTATGATCAAGGGCATTCATTTCCTCAATCATAGCAGCACGCCATCCAGGATGAGATAAAGCAGTGCCAACAGATGTAGGAATAGAAATAGAGTCTAGCTTGGCAATAAAAGAACTTGAAGAAGCAGATAGGTTGTCATAAGACACAACAGAAGCAATAGGGTAAGTGCAAGATCTTTTACCTTTGCGAAGCGCAACAGGAAGGTCATCGGGGATATTTGGTTCGGGGACAGGGTCTTCCACCGGAGCAGCAGGCAAAGGACGTGAAACAGAATCTATGATGACCTCGCGATGTGATTGAGAACGTCGAGTATATGTCTGTGTAATGGGTGGCCGAGTTATCTGAGGCGGAGGGGAAAGAGGCCTAGTGAGAGTAACAGATTATACCAAGAAGTCGTCTTCCCCTGGAGATGGAAGCTCCCGGGTAGGAAAAAATGGAAGGTGCTCATTAAAACCAACGTCCCTAGACATGACATACCGACCAAGGACATGAGAGAAACATTGATACCCTTTCTGCACCCTAGAATACCCAAGAAAAATACACTTGAGAGACTTAGGATCTAACTTAGTGATATGAGGTCGTGTATCCCGGACAAAACAGGTTCCAAAAATTTTAGGCGGTATAGAAAAAATAGGTTTATCTAGGAAAAGAACTGAAAATGAAATTGAATTACCCAAGACAACCGAGGGCATTCGATTAATTAAAAAACAAGCAGTGGACACAACATCAACCCAAAAAGTTTTAGGAACATGCATGTGAAAGAGTAATGCTCGAGCAACCTCGAGGAGGTGCCTATTTTTACGTTCAGCAATCCCATTTGGAGCTGGTGTATCAATACACGACGTTTCATGCAAAGTCCCATTTTCAAGCATATAAGACTGAAAAGGTGCAGACAAAAATTCTTTCGCATTATCACTTCGAAGAGTTTGAATGGTAGCAAGAAATTGAGTTTTAATTTCGACACTAAAGGACAAAAAATGTTGAAAAAAACTTCAGAACGACTTTTCATAAAGTATATCCAAGTGACACGCATCAATAAATATACCAAAATATCTAAAACCAAATTTTGATGACGGGGAACAAGGTCCCCATACATCAGAATGAACCAACCTAAATGGGGTCGCAGCCCTTGTGTTTATTCTAGGCGATAAAGAACTACGACAATGTTTAGCAAGCTGACAAGACTCACAAAATAAGGACGACAAACTTGAGAACTGAGGATCCAATCTTTTCAAACTTTGGAGAGAAGGATGGCCAAGACGACAATGCATATCTAGTGCGGAGGAGGAGGGGGTGCAAACAAATGACTTAGATGTCGGTGATTCGATAACATAGAGGCCATCAGATTCACGTCCTTCACAAGGATCTGCTTCGTTGAAAGATCCTACACAATAAAATGGTTCGGAAAGAATGAGACGCTACAATTCAATGATTTAGTAAGTTTGCTAACAGAGAGTAGGTTAAAAGCAAAGTTTGGTAAATTTAGTACAGATTGTAACGAGATAGAAGGAGTAATGTAATGCCCCGTTTGACTATGAAAATTTTGAGAATTATTATTATTTATTATTATTATTATTAATTATATTTACTTGTTGTTATTATTATTTGTTGTAAAATTATTTAAATGTCTAATATGAATTATGTGTCAAATTGTAATTAATTGTCTAATTGTCTAAGTGTTATTATTTAATTAAAATGTGTATTTGTATTTTTACTAATATTATTATTATTATTTTAAAAATTAAATCGTGTTTATTATAAATACAAATAATGTCCGGCTTATTTAGTTTATTGTGCGATTTAATTTCCGAGCCGAACCAATCTAATTTTGCGATTAATCGAGCCCGAGAGAACCGCCTGACCCGCAAGCCCGACAAACCGAACCGGCCCACCTCGACCAGGCCCAAATGCGTTAGTTTATTAGCCCATATATTTATCCTTAATTTCCCTAGTCTAAATCTGCGCAAGCTAATCAGCCGACCCTCAGAGCATCTCCAATGCTTTAATGTTGTTATTGAAATTTTTTTGACAAATGTCAAAATATTAAATAAATTGTGAACCATGTAGGACAAATGTTGAGTTTACAACTATTAAATTAAAAAATCATCTTCAATGCGCAATGTAGTCTAAATACAATATTATCTACTTACCAAATATTAAAATTTTAATATAAATTAATAAAATTAATTAAATAAGTAAATAGTTTAAAAATGGTAATAATAATTCTCTCTCTTCTCTTCATTGGCTAGCTAGAGTGTGGAAGAGAATGTGGATGAACCACATTCCTCTCTACATTGTAGACATTAATTATGTCCACATCACCACAACATTTGTAATCACATTGTATATTGGAGAATGGAAAGTTGTGATATTAATAAATGTGTTGATGTGGAATGTAATTTACCACTACAACATTGAGCATTGGAGATGCTCTCATCTCTTTCCCTGGCATTTTCACGCGTCTTCAGATTGGAGAAAATCCTTCTCTCAGCCAAAATCGGATCGCAAATTATCTCCTAACTTCGATCTTTCCTTTCTCTGTTAAAT